TGACTACAAACCCCTCAATAGCTTACTTTCAGATGACTACAAACCCCTCAATAGCTTACTTTCAGATGACTACAGAAATAACAACCTATTGTTAAAAATAACAGATCCCAAAATAAGCAAAAACTACTTATTTTAGTAAATAAAAAGCAAAAGACAATACAAATACCCAACATTGACGTGGTCCAAGAGACTACAGATCCCATGATGCACAACCTGAAATCAGGAATAGTTGCATACCAAATTAAAGAAACACATTAACTCACAAACCTTAATAAACATAACTAAAACTAATGCATTCTTGCAATTCATTTGTACCTGAATCCTCAGATCACTAGAATGCAAATGTCACACAAATTAAAAGGCATCAACCACGAGTACACTTGTCACAAGAATATCCCAAAAGTTCCTGCAACGATGCTGAAACAAAGCTAGGATTTAAGAATCAAATGTAATAAAAATGCAATATATTCTTACCTACAGAACCTTGCCGAGTTTGATGGAGCAGAACAAGTAAAAGGTAGTTGATTGATGTTTAGTTTGTTGGACTTCAAAGTAAATAGTTTAAATATAATATGATCCAAGTTAACAATTTAGTAAGATTAATCGGAACTAAATAACTTTTCACAAGCATATAATTCATCTAACTTACAATAAATCAAATAAGAACTATGTTAGTCGTGTTTACACAAAATAAAATAAGAAACTGAAAACAATTTCCTAGACAATAGAACATACTTAAGATGTTGGACGAAAATGAGTTCAGTTTACCAGATCAAAATTGAGAGCAATAAATGGATGGTCAAACCCTTGCAATGTCACTGTGGCGGCTTAAATAGTCTGTTCGAAAAAAAGAAGAAAAACCCACAAAAATCCTGTTAAGATTTCACTTGGATTGCATAAGAAAATTGGACTATGTGTTTGAATTTCCAAAAATTCGAGAGCGAGATTGAATGAAGAAACCAAAACCGTAGCTCAACAAATTCCCAAAATGAAAACATCTAACTTCTGACTCCTAATCATACGTCTTTTCCGTTCAACAGAACGAAATGCTTGGTTCTAGCTTGACTTGATTAATAAAGGAAATTATACTAAATTAACCAGAAAACATCAATCAAGATGCTCATAGCTCATTTCACACTCGATTCAACTAAAACTCATTCGCAATCAATCAGAACCAAATCGAGCTAAACCCAATTATTATTCCTGAAGCTTGACGAGGTTCAATAATACTCAATTAATTCATAACCCACAAGGCCACAACATATATTCGGGCAAGATGCTAAATTCACCCAAAAACATCGATCCAAATGCTCATAGCTCAGTTCACGCTCGACAAACTGGTCGGTGACCTGCGGACCCAGAACGAGTCCCTTCTCGAGAAGGCCAAGCGTTGGGCCACCGACGAGAAAAAACCCGGCTTCCGAGAGCTTCAGGAGCGTAATCGAGTGCTTTCGGAACAACTTTTGAAGTCGCTCGACGGGTGCCGGTCGATGAAGAGGAAGCTCCGGGCAGCCCACGAGGAAAACGGGAGCCTTCGAGCTGCCCTAGACGAGATTGTGACGAGCCTTGAGAGATTCAAGGCGAAAAACGAGCCGGAGGTTTTGGCTTTGGAGGGTATGTTTGAGCGTTTTCG